CGGGCACCTGTGGTCCCAGCTACTTGGGAGGCAGAGGCAGGAGACTTGCTTGAGCCCAGGAGTTGGAGGTTGCTGTGAGCTGTAATGGCACGGCACTCTACCCAGGGAGACAGCTTGAGGCTCTGTCTCAAAAAACAAAAACAAAAACTTATTTGTCTGAAATATTTATTTTTTGAGACAGTCTCACTTTGTCACCCCAGTAGAGTACTGTAGCATCATAGCTCACAGCAACCCCAAACTCTTGGGCTCAAGTGATTCTCTTGCCTCAGCCTCATAAGTAGCTAGGACTACAGACATTCGCCACAATGCCCAGGTATTTTTTTTAGAGATGGGGTCTCAGTTTTGCTCAGGATGGTCTCAAACCTGTGAGCTCAGGCAATCTACCTCTCTCCGCCTCCCAGAGTGCTGGTATTACAGATGCGAGCCAGTGCACCTGGCCCTGTCTGAAATATTTAGTATGGAATCAGAGGATATCTTGTGATTCATTTTATTTTATTTTATTTTATTTATTTTATTTTGATAGTCTTATTTTGTCTCTCTTGGTGGAGTGCCATGGCGTCACACCTCATAGCAAACTCAAACTTTGGGGCTCAAGCGATTCTTTTGCCTCAGCCTCCCAAGTAACTGGGACTACAGGTGCCCACCACAGTGCCTGACTATTTTTTGGTTGTAGTTGTCATTGTTGTTTGGCAGGCCCAGGCTGGATTCGAACCCACCAGCTCCGGTGTATGTGGCTGGCACCCTAGCCACTGAGTGCAGGTGCCAAGCTGATATCTTGTAATTTAGATCCCTTTGGGGTACTGAAGATATTCCCCCCATCTAATCTTTTTTTTACACTGATTTAAAAAAAAAATAGGGCTCTTCTGAAGTTAGAGCTCATAAACATCCATTTCTTTGTGATCTTAGTCATGTAGATTTTTGTTTTAAATTAATCTTATAGGTCAGGGGGGTAAATATTTAATAGGTCCTCCTAGCTTAAATTCAGTCTTAAGTTGTTTCTCTGTGACACTTTCACTCAAACCTCTTCTCAAAGGGCTTGGCACCTGTAGCTCAGTGGACTGAGCTGACAAGTTCTACTCCAGCCTGGGCCTGCCAAACAACAATAACAACTACCACAACAACAACAAAAAATAGCCAGGCATTATGGTGGGCACCTTTAGTCCCAGCTCCTTGGGAGGCTGAGGCAAGAGGATTGCTTAATGCCAAGAGTTTGAGGTTGCTGTGAGCTGTGACACCATAGCACTCTACCCAGGGTGACACAGTGAGACTCTGTCTCCAAAAAAAAAACCTCTTCTCAAAGGTACCACTGATAGCAGCATATTGAAGTCTAGTTCTTAATTTGCTTTGTAGTTTTCAGATTTTGAAATGAAGATCTTTCTTAGGCTAGAATACATAAAGAATACTATTGGCATTTTTTTCTCTCACCAAACACTGATTTTTAAAGATTAAATTTAAGAACAGGTAAATGTCTTTAATATAAATATAAGAAGTTTGTTTTCATAAAGAATCATAGCTATAAGATGGGACAGATCTGTGTGATGTCACGGGGATTTGGAGCGTTATACTTAGGCAGCAGGGCATCTCCTATCCTCCTTACATTTTCTTAGTTGTTAACCAGACTCTGTCCTAGATAATCCCTGGTCTCAGGATCTGAGGCCCTTTAGCTCCACAGTCATTATTAGACTCACTAGTTAATATCTATAAGCACTTCAGGGTGAATAATTGAGGGCTGAGATCTGCCATTTATTCAAAATTATATTCTATGACCTGCATTAGGGGTTAAGTGGCAAAAATGCCTTAGGATCTATGATTCCAAAAATGTTATTCTCTTTTCCTTGTATTTTTCTGAAAGTTATCTGAGACTTAGGGTTTCCTAGTCCTTCTGTTAAATTGCTTCACAGAAATTCTGAACACATATCCCTGGCTTACATTGGGATCCTCTATTTTGACTTTGTGTGCTGCTTTTGGGAAAGGTTCACTCTGTGAACTGACACTTAATCCAAGCACTTTCCTCTCCAATTAAGAGTTTGTTTAAAAATATGTGTGTGTGTGTGTGTACAAGAAACCATATAAGGATTACCTCTAGCAAGTAGAACTAGTGTCAGAATCAGGAAGAGATACTTCATTTCATCCCTTTAGTGTTAGAAATTTTTTTCTTTTTTGAGACAGAGTCTCAGTATATTGCCCTTGGTAGAATGCCAGCAACCTCAAATTCTTGGACTTAAACCTCAGCCTCCTGAGTAGCTGAGACTACAGGAACCCACCACAATGCCTGGCTACGTTTTGTTGCAGTTGTCATTGCTGTTTACCTGGCCCGGGCCGGGTTTGATCCCACCACCCTTGGTGTATGTGGCTGTGTTAGGATTTTTTATAAGAAACATATATATTGGGTGGTGCCTGTGGCTTAGTGAGTAGGGCGCCGGCCCCATATACCGGGCAGTTTGAAACCCGGCCCTGGCCAAACTGCAACAAAAAATAGCCCTAAGCCCAGGAGTTTGGAGGTTGCTGTGAGCTGTGTGACGCCATGGCACTCTACTGAGGGCGATAAAGTGAGACTCTGTCTCTACAAAAAAAAAAAGAAACAAACATATTTATTGGCAGTGCCCGTAGCGCAGTGGGTAGGGCTTCAGCTACATACACCCAGGCTGGTGGGTTTGAACCTGGCCTGGGCCAGCTAAAACAACGAGAACTGCAACAAAAAGATAGCTGGGCATTGGGCAGTGCCGATGGCTCAATGGAGTAGGGTGCTGGCCCCATATGCCAGAAGTGGTGGGTTCAAACCCAGCCCCAGCCAAAAACTGCAAAAAAAAAAAGAAAAAAATAGCGGGGCGTTGTGGTGGGTACCTATAGTCCCAGGTACTTGGGAGGCTGAGGCAAGAGAATTGCTTGAGCCCAAGAGTTATGAGCTGTTAATGCCATGGCACTCTACACAGGGCAACAGCTTGAGACTCTGTCTCAAAAAAGAAAAGAAACATTTATTCTTTTTTTTTTGAGACAGAGCCTCAAGCTGTCCCCCTGGCTAGAGTGCTGTGGCATCACAGCTCACAGCAACCTCCAACTAGTCTCCTGCCTTAGCCTCCCAAGTAGCTGGGACTACAGGCGCCCGCCACAACGCCTGGCTATTTTTTGGTTGCAGCCATCATTGTTGTTTGGCGGGCCCGGGCTGGGGATTCGAACCCGCCACCTTAGGTGTATGTGGCTGGCGCCTTAGACACTGGAGCCACAGGCACCGAGCTGAAACATTTATTCTTAAAAAAACAATAAGTTTTATAGAAAAGGAGGAAAGTTATACTGAAATCATCAGAGTTTTGATGGGAAATAAAATAATCTCTCTCAGATGAGGATTGTGGTATTTAAAACAGGCCTTGATCACAGATCCCAGCTAGCCTTTTCCTTGTTGCCTCGCCCACACGGTGTCTGTCACCCCCAGAGTCTCCTTCTGCTCACTTACACTTTTTCTTGCACAGCAGCCCACCTTGGGGACTTTCTTAATCCTGCACTTAGGAAGCATCTCAACTTGGACTTCTTATCAGTTTGGGGCACGTAGGTATTGTGATAATAGAACAAGTGCTGAAGGAAGAAAGGAGAGACGGCAAATTGTAGCCAGTTTAATAAGTGAAAGGTGCATATCCTTTTTCTACCAAGGGCATCATGCTCTGATGAATTATACCCTTTATCCTGTATGCCTGGCTATTTCCAACCCATTATTCATAATCAGCCTGAAGGCCTTTTTCTAAAAGTGGATCTTTCCACACCTGTCTTATGGTCTGATCTGAGTGAACACACCAGACACCATAGGTTCCACCAAAAGATTTTACCTTTCTATGATTGTTTTTAGCAAAAGAAATGAAATGCCTACATCCTGTTGGCTCTGACTGACCTCAGCTTCGCTTTGTGTGTTTTAGGCTTTAAAGGAGATAGATGAAGTTGGAGACCTATTGCAGCTGAAGTATTCACGTCATCGGTTGGTACCTCTACTGGACAGGCCCTTTGACGAGACTACTTACGAAGAAACAGAAGACTGAGCCTTTTTGGTGCTCCCATAGAGGGGAACTCTCCCTCACCCAGGACTGTGTGGCCTTTCTGAGCCAGTTCCAGGAACCACACTTCTGTGGCCATCTCACGTAAAAGACATTTCTTCAGCTACTGAAGGTGGCCACCTCCATTCTATATAGCATTTTGTAAATAGTAAAAAACTGCTTCACATTCTTCTTTTGCTAAATCTCACCTTTAAAAATGGAGGTGACTCACTTCGCTTTTTTGTCCATTAAAAAAAAAAGTTTTATTTTACAACTACTCTACTGGTGAAATCACGCTGACTCTAGCCTGTCTCTGGCTGGCCACTCTGGCCACTCCCCTCTCCCAGCCGCCTCACAGACTTGGACCCAGCAAGAGCTGCTGCTAGCCTGGCTCCACAGCCGCGAGGCTCACCTGGCCCTCCTCCCTCGGGAGCAAGTGCCTTCCACTCACTTCCATGCAGGTCCAAGAGGTTGCCAACCTTGGAATCCTCATTTAACCAGTCAAATAATCAACCAAAGTTTTCTCCATTTAATCTTAGGTTTAGCCTTTCAAGAAAAATAGTAAATGAAATGTTGCTGAAAGGCACATTGTGTAACTCCCTCTGGCCTCCCATGGTTTCGGTCTTAATCCATTTTGTTTCAGTCACCAAATGATTTCTCCCTTTACCACCAAATATTTCTTCCTAATGGTCAGAGACTGAGAGTATGGTCACTTAATGTTTTAAAAGCACCTGCATCCCACCTTGGTCAGTCTCGTGTGGTGCAGGTGACTCTCATATCTCGCTGTTTTGAGTATAAAGTTGCTCTGTAGAGTGGTGTGCAGCCCTGGTGGGTGAGGGTAACCGGCGTACGGAGAGAATCGATTACTAATTGCACAGAGTCTGTGGCTCAGGCTTCTTACTCTTTCCACTTTTCAAAGTTATGGCAGCCTCTGGCTGGGTCTGGGTCCAGATTAGGATTTAAACTGATAAAGGAAAATGTTAGTAAATCCTCTGCTCAGAAATAATTTATCATGTTCCTATTTAAGGATTAGAGTTATTAGCCCTTTTCGAAGTTGACCCACTTAAATATTACTCTTCTGAATGCTGGTTCTCATGTACTCTTGATGTCCTAAGATAATTTTAATCTGGCATCTGGGGCTAGGGTCTCCCTGTCCTTCCATTATACATTTTTTCTGAGAAATTCGGAACATAAAGACATCTTTCCTAAACTGAGATCCTCTATTTTGACTTTGTTTTCATACTATAGCCAGGTAAGGGGACTTCTTTCAGAGAGCTTTATACTGCTTGACCAAAGAGCAAATCTGAAAATCACCATTTTAAAGTTCTTATTTTTCTGTTGAACCAAAGTTTAAGTGAAGAGAACTTCTGGCTTTATTATTATACCCAAAATCAGTCTGTCTTTTAGGGGCCCATCAAGTATTATAGGGGAAGGATTGAGAATAGAATGGAAAAACAATGTGTGAAACTCCTTTTACACATCTATATTTTTGAAATTGCTCCATTTATTGGTAAAGATTCTCAATCCAGATTCCCCTGGGCACCTTGTCATCCGCTGTGGTATGTTTGTGTGCAAGTACACGTAGTAGAAAATGTAAGCAATATTATTGTTTGTGAAGTTTTGTTTTCATGTCATAAGTTATCTTTGGTCACTCTCAGCATCTGAGAGCATTAACCCTTGAGAAATCCCAAGGTTTCATCTTATTTTCTTAAAGAACAGAAAAGAGTGAATAAAAGACCCCCAAAAAGATGCAGGGACTATATTTAGCATGTACAAGAGAGAGTAAAAAAGAGATTATGGTAATAACTAAGTAAAATCAAATACATTGCTAACCTTTCCTGCACATTTAGTTCCCCACCATAGAATCCCTTTGGAATACCAGATAGCTTTTGCACTGTGGTTACTATTTAATGGTGTAGGTGTAGGGTTTGCAAATGTCGCAAACTTTAAGCAGTGAAGCTACCTGCTAGTCTTTTTATTTTGCCTTGCATGAAGTCACTGCAAATTAAAATATCAGTTAGTATGTGCGTTTAAAAATATATAGATCAATTTGTTGGTGCAAAGTTATGTCAAGATAAATGCAATTAAATTGCAAGTTTATTTTGAAGAGATAAAACTCCACTCCTGTGATCTTTCCAGGACCTCTGTAATTTCTAGAGCACAAAATGCTCTGTCTACATTATACAGGGCTGGTGTCTCTTCTTGAAACTGTAATATAAATCTAGGGTCCAGTCATATCATAGGTACCATTATTTATCCAAGTACCTGGGGAAATACAAATGTATATAAATATAGTCAATGAGAATAAGTAAACATCTGGAACATACAAGTATTGTTTGTTTTAGAACACAGTTTAACATGGCCTGATTTGAGAATCTGATGGGATTAAAACAGGCATCAGTTAACCATTACTACCAAAACTGATAATCTGAGCTGATTGTTAAGAGTTGTGACTAATCCTTGTGGCTTTTTCTCATCTCTTTTTTTATTTAGTATTGCCTTTATCTATTTCAGGTTTACAAGACCTCTGTCAGCAGTTCACTTCAGAAACCAGGAAATTTATAGCTAGGGGACATCAAAATCACACACAAAGAGTAGATCAAGTGGCAGTGACAGTTTCTTCTCCTATCTTTATGTTTAAAGTTTTAACTGAGCAGTGAGACTCTGGAGCATTTGCTTTGTTTTAGATAAGAAATTCTCCCCTTGGGCAGTGGGGCACCAGCCCCATACGCCAAAGGTGGCAGGTTCAAGCCCAGCCCCGGCCAAAAAAAACTGCAAAAAAAAAAAGAAAGAAAAAGAAATTCTCCCCTTTAACAAAAGAGTCTAGTCTCCAGAACTCCAAAGTACTATTTGTGTATTTGAAGAATATAGCCATCTTAGCCCATTAGTCACTATCTTAAACCTTCATGCTAGGGTGGATTTCAGATGGTCAAAACAGGGCTCTTCCTCGTGTAGATCATGTAAGGCGAACAGAAACAATCTGCAGCTACTAAGGGCTCTGTGTGGACCTCCTGTCCTTTCAGAGGCTAAAGAATCAAACACACTTCCCGTGATGTGTCTCTGTAATCTCCCTTCTTTGTTTGGCCTGCCTTTCTGTACCTTCTCATTGTTGAATTTTACAATTCCAACTCTAGAGAAAATTGATAAATAGTGATGCTGGGCTTTGAGGATTGGCAGGTTGACACCTGGTTCTCTTTGTGCATGCTGCCTTACATTTCAGGAGGAGGCAGGGAACTTTTTATTTCTTCCCTACTTAATGGAGCCTGCATCTAAGCTTCTTGACTAGGTTGGTCTAGCTGAATTTTCTAGTGTATAATACATTTTGTTTCCTTCCTATTAGTAAAAACCGTGAGGAAGAACATGGAGAGACTTCCTAACTTCTCAGGGAAGGAAAAAACACTGATGATATCCACTATGACCTCTCTGTTCCCCCATCCCCACCCCATTTTCCAAATTGAAGAAAATCTCTGTTCCCCAGTGATCCTGGACCGGACAGCAGTGCAGAACTGCAGGTCATGCACAGGCAGTGAAGAAAGAGAATGTGGGGAGTTCTTGTTTTTTAAGAGTTTGAAGGTTTGTGGCAAATCCACCTAAAGAAAGTGAAGGACAATTATTCTCTTGTATATAGAATTGCTGTGACCCCATTCCAGGGTGTTCTTTTCTCTCCTGGTGTTCTAGTTAAGCCGGACTGGGTTTTAATCTCTACTTGCCGTAACCATGTGGTTAGAAAAAGAGGGAGAGTGGCGGTTTTCCTTCTCACTGTCTACATTCATGAAGATCAAGAGCATTTCTCAGAGGTAAAATCAGCCAAACCCAAAGAGGTTATAAAGGGGGCAGGTATGAAAATCAAAGATTCTTTTTGGCTATGGAGCCAAGAACCTATAGTTTTTTGTTTTGTTTTTGCAGTCCCAGAACCGACAGATGTGCTGCTACCTACTCAACACGGACACTTAGTGCTCAGCGGCATCTTAATCCATTAAGCTAGTTAATCAGAACACTTTCCATGTGCAGAATAGCATGTCCCCTTCTCTTCTCAGCTTTATCCACATGAAATGTGTGCCCAGGCTCCTGGCCAAATGCCATGTGCCCAGCCAGATAGATGAATTACGTGCTGGCTTCCTCCCTTACCACACAGAAGAAATGCTAGGGCTAGCCAGTGATCCCTTTGCTTTAATTGCATAGAAGATGCTACTGTTCCTTTCTGTCATTTCCATTGACTTCTGTTTTCTAAGCAGCTTTTGCTATAGATTGAGCCTTCTTTTCTAGAGAGGAAACCGAAGGGGCTAGCTTTAGCTTCTGATGAAAATGTTTATCCTAGTCTTCTCTGGTGAATGGAAATACTACATTTGCAGTCCACCTTGGGAGTGGCTTGGTGGCAGGAGCTGTAGACAAGATTTTCTTTGCTATATAGTGCCCATGACAAATGGCCTTAAACTGTGATTCTTAACGGTATGATGGGTTGTAATAAACTGACCGTAAAGAGTGCAGTGGCTCTGAAACTGCAGTTACTGTGTTCTTCGTGAAGCAATACCCAAAGCTCTGTTCTATGGAGCAGTTGTGGGGAGAGTTGAGTGAAAGGTACAAATAAGAGCAGTACCTGATCTGTTTTCTAAGTGTCCTGCCTTGTCATCTGCAAGGATAAGCAAATCCTATGCACGAGGCGACTCGAGCCATCTCAGAGTCTCCTTTTGCCAACACAATTCCCAAGTTTCTTGTGCAAAGCTTGGTCTCTGGGCCCAGGCCTTCCAAGAGAGTGGGGGACACCTCACTGACTAGGGTGGAGTGGTGTCCTTATCCTTGACATTTGGTCTTGTTACCTCAGTGATTGATGTTAAGCCAAATGGTTGGAATTATGAAAAACATCCTTGCTGGTTCACAGGACACTGGCAGTGACCTTTCACTTCAGCCAGCATGCCCACACGGTCTGGATGATCCCTCTCTGTATCAGGCAGCTAACAGTAAGAGAAGGGGAAGAGACAGAATCAGAGAGCAGTAGCTTATGGGAGAGCTGACATCTTATTTTGTTGACCTTTATTTTTTCCACTGACCAAATTACTTGTAAACTGGAATTTGCAAGGGGTGCTATGATGATAACGCCTTTCTGTTGCTGTAATTTTCATATAACCTGGGAAAGTAGAAAAGAGGAAGTGTAAATAAAAATTTAACAGTTTTAGTAATGTGTTATAATGTCACTCTCTTTTACCCTGTTCCCCCTTTTTGCCAGATGATTTATTTTTATTTTTTACTTTATCGGATGACTGTGAAGTTAT